CCACCATCTGAGTGCAGCCCCAGAAAACTGAAAGGCAGTGAATGAGACCCCCCAAGTCTCCAAAATACCAGCAGTACAGAGTATCCTCTCATACTTGTCCAAACAATCCTGAGCATTCTCTCTCTCTGTGCCACTAAAAGGTGGTGGCTGGAGTCTCCCAAACCTCTCCAACCTACACTGATCATCCTCAGGCATAGCAGGAACCACATAATCCTGAGCAATAGCAACCGGCTGGGCTGGTGGTGCCTCCGGTGTCTAAAGTCCCTGAATTACCTGCTCGGGTGTGCGAGCGACGGGAGTCTATGTGCCTTCCCTGGCCTGAGAAGTGGTTGCGGCCGTCAAAATAGAAACCGCCTGAGCAAGGCCAGTACACGCTGTCAGAATCTGAGCTAGGGCCTCCTGAAGGCCTGGAATCACAATAGGCACAGGTGGTGCCTGAGCTAGTGCATCAACAACTGGAACCTGGTCCTGATCTGGGACAACCGGTGGATCTGCAGGTACTGCCCCGGCTGCTGTACAAGCTGCACCTCTGCCCCTACCACGGCCTCTACCGTGGCCTCGGCCTCTCGCAACCCTGGCTGGTGGTACTGGTGGCTGGCCCTCCTGGCCGGTAGCATGAGTCCTCACCATCTGTAAGAGAATGAAACAACAAATGTTTAGTTAATAGAATCAACAGATTCGCACGACAAGAATTCAAGAATGTGGAGTTTCCTAAAGGTTCTGCAGCCTCTCGAAGATAAGTACAGACGTCTCCATACCGATCCGCAAGACTCTACTAAACCCGCTCATGACTCTTGAGACCTATGTAACCTAGTGCTCTGATACCAATCTGTCACGACCCAAACTAACCCCTATCGTGATGGCACCTATCATGGAACTAGGCAAGCCGACTCATTTCCAAAACAAACCGATATTTTCATTTCAAAGATAATTTCAATGTTATTTAACATAAAAACCTTCGTAAAGGAGTTTCAATCAAAATAAAAGTGCGGAAAGAAAAGCCCGACATCGGGGTGTCACTACTCGTGAGCATCTACTATAATCTGTCTTATAATATCAAGGCTAACTCAGCTTGGAAAATAGCTAAATACAACTAGAGGAAGATAAGAGGGAGAAGAGCAGGGGCTGCGATCGCCAACAGCTACCTTGCTATCTCCGAAAAAATCTACAATCAGAATAATCAACAACCGCTACCGTGTCCAGCTACACCTGGATCTGCATACAAGGTGCAAGGAGTAACGTGAATACGCCAACTCAGTAAGTAACAACAATAAATAAAGACTGAGCAATAGTGACGAGCAATAAAGCATATAACATTCATATCATGAAATCTCAGTAAAGTACAACATGCTTTAAAAATTAGTGTTTGAATCAAATCCTCTCGTTTAAACCCGGTTCCAATAGAAATCATTTAAAGATATTTTTCCATAGTTTTTCAAACAAAGTCTCAATGCAAAGGTGAGCAAAAATGATAAAATCATAAACAGCCCTTCGGGCAAAACATCGCTCATATACTGCCCCTCGAGCAAACCTCACAGTCACTCGTGCCACTCGGGCATACCTCACAATCACTCTTGCCACTCGGGCATACCTCACAATTACTCATGCCTCCCAGTCACTCAGCACTCGTCACTCGCACTCAGTAGGTACCTGCGCTCACTGGGGGTGTGTACAGACTCCGGAGGGGCTCCTTCAGCCCAAGCGCTATAATCTGCACGAACAACTCACGTGCTATAATAATAAAGTATGTTGCAGGTGGGCAGCCCCGATCCACGCTCATCCTCACAATCAGGCCCTCGGCCTCACTCAGTCATAAACCTCTCAAGCCACTCGGGCATTTCAGTAAAACAGGGTGCTCAGCCCAAAACAACATTAGTCATAAAACTGAGTTATGCAGTAAACAAGTATAATCATGACTGAGTATAGATTTTCAATCAAAAACAATGAGAGGATAGTAAGAAAAAGCCCCTAAGGGTCCAAACAGTACTGGCACAAGGCCCAAACATGGCATTCAGCCCAAATTTACAAAAACTCTTTCTAAAACATATAAGTATCATATAGTTTCAACAAAGTATGCAACTTTACAGTTGCTACGGGACAGACCCAGTCACAATCCCCAACAGTGCACGCCCACACGCCCGTCACCTAGCATGTGTGTCACTAAAAATAGTAGAATGATACAAAATCCGGGGTTTCATACCCTCAGGACTAGATTTACAATCGTTACTTACCTCAAACCGGTCAAATTTCTACCCCGCAATACTCTTGCCTCTGAACTCAGCCTCCAAATACTCCAAATCTATTCACAATCAGTACAATACCATCAATATACGCTAATGGAATGAATTCCACAAGAAAAGCTATAAAATTAGACCAAACCCTGAAATTGGCTCAAACCCGTCCTCCGGGCCCACATCTCGAAATCCGACAAAATTCACAAAACTAGAAAGCTCTTTCACTCACGAGTCTAACCATACCAAATTCATCAAAATCTGACATCGTTTGGTCCTTCAAATCCTTAAATTGCTCTCCAAACATTCCAAGCCCTAACCCCTTATTTTCACTAATTACATGATTAAACAACGGAAAAATCACCATATATACGAGTATTGGGCTCAAGTAACTTACCTCAACGAAACTCCCTTGATTCCCTCTTCAAATCTCTCCCCAAAACCTCCAAAAATCGGATAGAAATGGTGAAAAATGCACCAAAATTCGCGAAGTGTTCCTATATACCTTCTGCCCAGGAAATCTCGCACCTGCGGCCCCTTTTCTCGCACCCGCGCGACCGCACCTGCGGTCTAGGGAGCCGCACCTGCGCAACTCACTTATTCGCCCAAACTCCGCATCTGCACTAAAATTCGTCGCACCTGCGCGTTTCCTCCGCTTCTGCGAAGCCTGCTCAACATTCCCCTTTCCGCATCTGTGCCCCAGGCTTCGTACCTGCGGGCTCGCAGACGTGACCTCCAACTCGCACCTGCACAACTTTCCTAGCCCAGCGTTTCCCGTACCTGCGCACTCCTTACGCACATCAGCGGCCTCGCACCTGCGACTCTTCCTTCCGTAGGTGCGGAAATAGCAGAAGCAGCAGCTCCAGCTACAAATTCCAACTTCGACAAATCCGTTAACCACCTAGAATCACCCCGAGGCCCTCGGGACCTCAACCAAAAATACCAACAAGTCATATATCAACATACAAACTTAGTCGAACCTTCGAATCACTCAAAACAATATCCAAACACCAAATTACCCTCGGATTCAAGCCTAAGAACTTCTAAATTTCCAAATTCGGCAACCGATGCCGAAACCAACCAAACCACATTCGAATAATCTCAAATTTTGCACACACGTCACAAATGACACTACGAACCTACTCGAACTTCCGAAATTCTATTCCGACCCAGATATCAAATTTTTTACTGCCGACCGAAATCGCCAAATTTTTAATTTCGCCAATTCAAGCCTAATTCTACCACGGACCTCTAAATCATATTCCGGACATACTCCTAAGTCCAAAATCACCTAACGGAGCTAACGGAACCATCAGAATTCAAAATCCGAGATCGTTTACACATAGGTCAATATCCGGTTGACTTTTCCAACTTAAGTTTCTACTTAAGAGACTAAGTGTCTCAATTCACTCTGAAACTACTCCGGTCCCGAACCAACTAACCCGATATAACATAATATAGCTGAATAACACAAAAAGAAGTAGAAATGGGAAAAACGGGGCTATAACTCTCGAAACAACCGGTCGGGTCGTTACATACTACTAAAAAGAATGGGGAACTCTCGACTACCTACTAGCCAACTATCCTAATTTTCGACCTCCATACCCTTCTATCCTGGGTCATGTCCTCAGTGAGTTGAAGTAGTGTCATATCCTACCTAATCACCTCTCTCCAATACTTCTTCGGCCTTCCTCTACCCCTTCTCAACCCCGCTACGGCCAGCCTCTCACACCTCATAATAGGAGCATCCGTACTCCTCCTCTGCACGTGCCCGAACCATCTCAGCCTCAACTCCCGCATCTGAACAATGCATATATCATAATAATTTAAATTTCATATTTAACCTTGAACTATTCATTCGCCTCTTTTAGGTATAAAACACACGCGCGTGAGCTGTAAAAAGTGATGTATCTTAGGCACACTTTGAAAAATTTAAGTATGTAAGGTAATTTTTGTCCACAAAAAATGTGAAATAACGATTTGGTCCATAGTTTAAGAGGTAACCTATGTATTTTGCCTACTGGAAATCATAAACATTTGGCTTAATAGCCTAAAATTATTTACAACATTTTTTGCCTCGCTGAAATTTAAACTTGAGATGTCGTAACTTTTAATCTATTTTATTGATCAGTAGGCAAACCCTAATGTGCAATATCTATGAACGTTTATTCACGTGACAATTGATTTTTTTTGTTTGCTTGCTTTTATCTTTTTACAGTTTGTGGTTTTAACTATTTTCACAACATTACACTTGAGTGCCACAGCAAATTTTTGTCCGATCCTTCATTGACGATCTTCTTCATTTTCCGCGGAATATGCTCAAGGCCATACTAAAGATTAATTATTATCATAAATCAATATTCATATAAAGCAATCTTCCAATCAGGACTGGTCAGTCAAGTCGCGATGCTTACTAAAACATATTTTACTGGTAGTTTGGATCATTTTAGGCTAAAAAAATATTAAAAGTCACTCGAAAACTCTAAAGTAAAAACAAATTAAATTTGTTCCTAAACCATCAAATATTAAGAGATTTCAATTTGAATTGAAGTATACCAAACTTGAATCTCAATACTGCTGCTGAATTAGTTTTTTTTCTTATTAACCATGTAAATAAATAAAATCAATTCCTTTAAATTTTCCTATCTTTTCGGTTTTTAATTTCTAAGACAGTTTAGACAAAAAAAAACAGGTGGCTCACGATCCCCTACTAAGGGAGTGAAAGGCGAGAATAAAGGGTTTTGGTATGAGTGTGTGACCTATTCGACTGCTTTTTCACAACTCCTAAAACACTTGCAAACAAATCATAACCAAGTGTGTACTTTACTTTCTCAACAACACTACTTAAATCCCTTTCACAATAACAAATCTAGGTTGACTTCAACATACAAAATCCCCTATTAATCCCATATACAATTCCAACTTCCAACTTTTCCCCCAAAAACCCTCTAGCCAGTAGGGTCCATTAGGGTTTCTTGTTTTCGCTGTAAAAATTATAAAGCGACGATTTTTGGGGTTTTTTACACTATATTGTATCTTGGGTATGGAGGATTTGGACAAAAACAAGCTATTTTGTGGTGGGATTCCAAGGGATACGACTGAGCAGATGCTTAAGGAGCATTTTTCTAAGTATGGAACTGTGGTTAGCTCTGTTATTGCCAAGGACCGTGAAACTGGTAGACCTAGAGGCTTTGCTTTTGTTTCCTTTTCCGATTCATCTGCAGTTGATAAAGCACTCCAAGATACTCATGAAATTCTTGGAAGAATGGTTTGTCTTCAAACCCCTTGTTGTTGATTTTGTTTCTCAGTCTAATTTATGTTTTTACTTGTTTAATTCTTGTTTTTTAGGACCCCTTTTCTCTTCTTGTTCAATTGGATTTTCTAAAAAAAAGGTTTTTCCGTTAATATTTGAGAAAAAGTCATATATTTTTCTCCATTTTTTGAGTTAAAACACTATTTTTTTCTGAATATTTTTTGTTTATTTTTTAAAATAGAATTGTTGTGACACCCTAGGCGATTCTTACGTGACAAAACATGGGATGTTTATAAGTAAACAAGCCTTGAACCCTAGTGATGCGTAGTAGAGCCGTGCGGGCCTCGAGCGGGGCTGTTACACTTTTCATGTTGAGATAAAAATGTATAGATGGAAGTTGTTGCTCTGTTTTTTGGCTATCTTTGTTGCTGATACATGTATGTATGTTCTGTTATACAAAAGGTGAAGTCTTTTTTATGGTGTATTAACTTCAATTGGCTACCTGAAGGACAGATGTTTGGTTAACCTTTTTAGTTGGGCTAACCTCTCTCATGTAAATAACTCTGATGTATTTTTGGACTTTGTCGACTCTCTAGTTTTGTAGCACTTCGATTTTAAATGAGCTGATAAACTTTGTTTTGTAATCTTTTTGCATCTTCTTGATGCCTTTAATGATATCCTGCTTACTTCGTCAAAAAGGTGAAGTCTTTTTTTGTTTATCTGATATGTGGTATATTATGTCATTTATAGGTAGAGGTGAAAAAAGCCATACCCAGAAGTGAACAACACCAACAACAGAGTCAACAACAACAACAACAACAACAAAATAGTAGGGGGTTGAATAGGAATAGTAGAACTAATTGTAGAAGCAATGATCAGTTTAGGACGAAGAAGATCTTTGTAGGGGGTCTATCAGCTAACCTAACTAAGGAAGACTTCAAGAGTTACTTTGAAAGATTTGGTAGGATTACAGATGTTGTTGTGATGCATGACAATGTTACCCATCGACCAAGGGGATTTGGTTTTATTACCTTTGATTCGGAGGATGCAGTTGAGGAGGTTATGCAGAAGAATTTCCATGAATTAAGTGGCAAGCTTGTGGAGGTGAAGAGGGCTATACCAAAAGATGAAAATAGCAATAGTAGTAATGGTTATCATGTTAGAATAGGTAATGGAAGTGGTTCTAATTATAACCCTTACCAACAAGGGATGTATCCATCTTACAGTCCTAGATATGTATATTGTTGTGGGCCTGTCTCAGGTTATGGGAATGTTGCGGGA